ATTTCGCAAATCTTGAGAAGAACTGCTCAATAGTTGACTCGATGATGTTTAAAAACAGCTTTTGAAGGCTTTGACAGTCTGTTCTGTCATCTTTTGGGAGGTCTTTGATGTGCCTCTTGAGGTTTGGGAAATATCTAAATCTCTCACCTTCCACATCCCTCTTAAAGACTTCCAGTTTATTTTCAAAAGTCTTTATGTAACCAAACATAACATCAAGTGTCTTGCCAGTTCCTTGTAATTTAACATTTAAGTCAATCAAATGTTCACAAAAATTGTAAAGGGAAGATTATAAGAGAGGGTTTTGCGTGCCAGCAAAAGTTACTGGCGTGCCATGTTTGGCACGCGTGCCAAGGGTTGCCCACTCCTGGACTAGGCTAAAGACCAAATTAGGTTACAAAGGAGACCCTTCTGGCATGGACACACCTCTTTTGGATTTCTGAATAGTAATCACAGGAGATTATAGGATACTATATTTTCCCAAGTTTGACACAGATTATGGGCTAACAACCCAAATTGTAAAGGTACGGGATGATGACTCCTTATTCTCTTTTAATTTTCACTGTTAAGGTGAACAGGATCAGGCCTGGCCAAGGAACTCAGTTGGGTAGAGTGTCCCCCTGATTTGCCAAAGTTTCGGGTTTGAGCCCTGGTCAGGGCAACAAGGATCAACCAATGAAAGCATAAATGAGTGGAATAACAAATTGATGTTTCTCTCTCTCTCTACCTTTCTCTCTCTAAATTCAATAAATTTAAATATAAAAAAGGTAAATAGGATCAAACACCAAATCATCATTCACTTAAAAAGGGAAATCCTATTGTACTGAAGGCAAGGAACTGGGCAAGATAATCTAATTAGGTTTGTTCTCTACTTTCAATTAACTAAGTATAACAGCCTGTTTTTGGTTCTGGCAGCCTATACAGTATACTATATAAAGAACAATGACTAGTAAAGACACTTAACACAAGTGTGAATGTTCCACTTTTATAACACATAAATATAGGAATAATTTTTTTCAATGGATTTTTTTTCTGCTTTCAGCAGGTTCATGAGAATTACATAAGGAGTTTCCCTATCCTCCTTGTGAGGTATCAAGTTTTTTTTATTTAAAGCAAATATATTCTAGTATCATTTAAAGGTTTTCATAAAAGAATTCTCTTACTTCATTCAATATGTGATAATTATAGAACTTCACAAACTAAAAAAAGAAAAACTGTATGAAAAATGGCACAACAGGGAAACATGATAAGATTACAAGATTTGCCTGCCATGCAGTCACATAATCTATATATATAAAAGCCTAAGCAACTGTCTGACTGTCCGACCGTTAGCTATGACCACCAGGGGGCAGACGCTCAGCACAGGAGCTGCAGAGCTGCGGTGACTTGGCAGCTGCAGTTCTCGGGTGACACACCCGGAACCAGAGAGGAGAGCCCGATTCCGGGGTGCAGTCACCCAAGAACCGCCCTCTCACAATCTGGGACCCCTCGGGGGATGTCAGAGAGCTGGTTTCGGCCCGATCCCCGCAGGCCAGGCTGAGGGACCCCACCAGTGCACGAATCCGTGCACTGGGCCTCTAGTATTAAAAATAATTACTTGAGTAACAGGAAAAAATTTGGACAAAATATTGGAAAACAAACTTAGATAAAAATCAGAATCCTTAAAAATGATTTTCTACATGAGCACTGAACATACTTATAATTTAGTAACATTATAAACCAAAATATTTATTCTTTAAATTTGATTCAACTAAAAGACTGTAAAAACTTTTTATTTTTTATTTTTTTAATATATTTTATTGATTTTTTACAGAGAGAAAGGGAGAGGGATAGAGTTAGAAACATCGATGAGAGAGAAACATCGATCAGCTGCCTCCTGCACACACCCCTCCTGGGGATGTGCCCACAACCAAGGTACATGCCCTTGACCGGAATCTAACCTGGGACCCTTCAGTCCGCAGGCTGACGCTCTATCCACTGAGCCAAACCGGTCAGGGCTGTAAAAACTTTTTAAATGGCCTGGCCAGTGGGGCTCAGTGGTTGAGCATCGACCTATGAACCAGGAGGTCATGGTTCGATTCTGGGTCAGGGCACATACTTGGGTGGAGGCAGCCTATTGATGATTCTCTCTCATCATTGATGTTTCTCTCTCTCTCCCCCTTTCTCTTCCCCTCTCAAATCAAGAGAAATAAATGTTTTAAAAAACTTTTAAAATGTATAGAATATTTGTTTTAAATTCTGCATTGCAGCAATTCCTTCTTAAACTATATATTTTGAATCAGGATCAAGATCCAAACAAAACAAACCGAGAAGATTTTATTTAGAGGCTAATTTACTTTCCCCAATAGCTCTTATAAATTCCCAAACAACCTTTAAAAAATAATACAATTAATTTTAAAAAGTGAACAAAAATGAGAACTGAGTAATTAATGACATATTATTCTGTGCAAAATATTAGTTCCTGAAAATAATGAACTAAACACATTGTTTTATATATCTAAAGGCTTTGTCACTCAGTTGTAATGTATTTCTGCTTATACAAATTTTAAAACTGGACTAAAATGTTTGCCTAAAGGCCAACTTAACTGTTCACTGTTTCACAGCTCTATCATCTATCCATTATTTATATTACTATTGATATTTATTTACTTTATTAAGTAAACATGTAAGACACTTAAAATAACTTTATCCAAAGGAAACAACCTAGCATAAATGTGTGCTTCTTGTGGTAATCACTTGTTTTAACTATTTCATTTTGTCATTGTTGGGCTGCCTTTTAACCTAATCTTAAAACATTTTGTGAATCCTAAATTCTAATATAAAAAAAAACAACTTGGTTATACTTATAGATTTGTGCAAGCACACACTAAAAATCATTCCTAATACAAGTCGAAAAGGAAAACAGCTTTATGTCAAGCACTGTTAAGGTTGAGTAATCACACAAACTTGAGAAACTAGTAGCCTCATGTTTGCCAACTAACAATCCAGGCCTTGTAAACCTTCTGATTCCATGTAAAATACATCATTCTAAAGGAAAAGGATGACTACTATTGTATTTAACTTCTTGGCCTCATTATGATGTCATTTATAATGAGTTTTTCTTCTGGACTTTGTTAACAAAGAACCAGCTTGCAGTCTACACACAAAACTGGCAGTTGTTAGTAACCTAATAACTTGTTTGTCAAATGCCTAACAAGCAATATGAATCAACATTCATTCACTAGACCTAAACTTTCACATAAAAACTATAAAGAACTTTAAACTTTAGTCCTGTATAATATGCCAATGCTTTTAATTATCACTGTCCCATGACTCCTGTGTCCTATTTCCAAATTAAACTGTGCAAATAATATATTAAATATGAAATGCAATTAGGAAAAATTAACATTAAAATTTTGTGCCATGATAACAATGTAGAAAAAAAAGTCCTGCTATATGGCATAACCAAGAAAGATTTAATTTTTAATTACACTGCTCTGTTTGCAGTATCTTAGTTTCCATTTTAACCTCCTTGAACTGGGAGTGCTATTTGAGACTTGTCAATACCAGAGATGATCTTAAAAAGAGAAAGAGGAAGGGAGGGGAGGGGAGGGGAGGGGAGGGGAGAGGAGAGGAATCAACCTTACATTCTCATCTCCCTAACAATGATTAGCCAACCTTGGTTATGTTATTTTTTTATACTACTAAGGAACAATATCTCACCATCCTTGGGATTATCAAAATCAACTTATTTTTTTTAATCCTCACCCGAGGATATTTTTCCATTGATTTTTAGAGAGAGTGGAAGAGAGAGGGAAAGACAAAGAGACATATCAATGTGAGAGAAACATGGAATGGTTGCCTCCGGCAAGCGTCCAAACAGGGGCCAGGCCGAGGAGGAAGGACCTGAATTGAACCTGGGACCCTTGGGTCTGCAGGCCCACGCTCTATCCACTGAGCAAAACCGGCTAGGGCTCAACTTTCTTGAGGGTAGATATTAATTACAGAAGTAGGAATCTAATACCAACACGAAATCTAATTTATCGGTCAAATTTTATCTTTTTTAAAAATTTTCCTTTTAGCCCTAGCTGGTTTAGCCCAATGGGTAGAGCGTCAGCCTGCGGACTGAAGGGTCCGGGTTTGATTCTGGTCAAGGGCACATGCCCGGGTTGCAGGCTCAAGGCACCCTGCAGGGGGCAGCCAATCAATGATTCTCTCTCATCATTAATGTTTCTATCTCCTCCCTCTCTCTCTGAAATCAATAAAAATATATTTAAAAAAACAAAACAAAAACCTTCCTTTTACATTACTCTGATATACACACAAAAAGTTAACACTCTCACCTAGACTGTTACCAAATAAAACCCAGCAAGAATGAGATTGTGGGTCTTTCTGAGCACTTGTTTGACCCAACCTGAAGTAGCCACATTTGCAACAAACTTGATCACTACGATTTTAAAAGAAAACGCACTATTTCTTTTTATATAGTTCCTATTAGTCTTTCTCAATTGTTAACAAAAGGTTGGTAGGTAAACATTTTGAGGTAAAGGTATTATTTGTAGTTTTTTGGTAGTTTTTCCTCCTCCCGCGGGGAAAACAATAGGGTTCAACACAGTTTCTATAAAACTGTCTTTAATATTTAAGATACCGCCACGTTACTAGCTGAATTTTAATCTTAGATATTTTATATATGGTAAATTGGGGGTAGTCCAAAACCCCAACAGCCATCAGCAACAGTAAACACACACTAAACTTGCTCCCGAAACAGTTCCTCCAGCGCCCCAGGTGAGGGAGTGTCCCGGACTGAGACCAGGCGCCTCCCATCACCCTGCACGGAAGCCCGGGGTGGGGGCGCCCCGGGAACACCTGCGGAGCTGCGCAGTCTCCCGGTGCCGGGTTATCTGACCCGGAAAACACCAGGGACAGTCGGGGACACGACAGCTCCCTCTACATTCTGCACCCCACCACTCCCCGAAACTTCCAGGCCCAGCCAGGCCCGAAGCAGCGGGACGGCGGCAACTCACCGCGATCATGACCGTGTCTTCTCCCTGAAACTTGGCGATGTACTTATCGCCGCGGTTCACTTCAGACTCGTTGAGAGGTCTGAAGCGACACATCACTTTGATGTTGCACTCTGCCGGGTCCGCCATCTTCCTCGCTGCCGGGGCCGGAGGCCGGGAGCCACTCCCTGCCGCTCAGTCCCGGAGGAAGCAGGCCCGGGCTGAGGGTCTAGGGTCGCGAAGGTCGAGAGAATCAGTCCCCGGGGTCGCACTTTCCCCGGAGGGGGCGGAGGAGGACGGAGACTGGAAGCGCCGGCGCCGGCAGCCTCGCCCAGAGGCTCACTTCCGATCCATCATGGCAGCCGTGGCAGTGGCGGTGGCGGCACCGGGTGGAGCGTCCACGGCGCAGCTCCTCAGCTTCCCCCTCACCGGCCTGGGCAGACTGCAGGCTCTGGGAGACAGGAAAGCGGTCCCCTCCTTCCTTGGAGTGAGCAGGATGGCCCACCGCCTCCTCGCTCGGCTGTCTGCTTGACGGCTGACCCCAGTCACTTCTAGAGCCACAGACTCGCGACGCGGCGGCGGGAGGGGCGGCCTGCAAG